TGAGCATTCAGGACTCCACAATTCAACCCTGAGCTACAAATATTCTCTTCTAAAAGAGAATATTAAGCCAGTCAGTCCTACTGTTGAGACAATTATGAGATTAAAAAATGCCACCATTAACACTTCACTTCTACCTCAGAGAAACTTTCCACCATATAAATACATGCATTGGATGCTCATGTTGTATTATTCTAAGTCAACTATTTGAGCAGTTGATTAAAATATAACAAAACAGGAATACACTGAAGGGAAACTGGTAATCAGAATGAAGACTAACAGATTCTTAAAAATTCTTAAAAACTTCTGCTAGACAAGAGTTGTATGTCTAATATTTCATGTTCACAGATTTGCAGAAGCAAACCTAGTTAATAATTTTCATAATTTGAGATGAAGCAGCAAGAAATGAGACTTGCAGAAGCTCTTATGGGGTCACCGTATGCCTTGCAACAAAAGAGGTTAAGAGTAGAATAGAGCTTTTCAAAGTTTCCCAAATAACAAGGATGGCCAAAAAAAACTACAGATGGCAAATGAAAGAAATTAACACAATGATGGCTCACCTGTTGCAGATGCTACAGTGGTGGGTCCGGGCAGGTTTGGGGGCAATACATTTCTTGCAGACTGACACAGCAGCAAGATCGTTCTTTGGGTGCTGTAGGAAAGGGGAAAGCAACAGTTTTTGAACATGGTGGAGCATTGCTTCTCAGTCTTTTGGCTAAAATCAATTGTAAGTATTACTGAGTAGCAAAGATATTGTCTTTTCTTTCTTACCAAAGATAATGATCAGAAGCTTTCTGGGACAGTGTTTCTCAACCTTGGCAACTTGAAGAATGTGGACTTCAAGCCACCAAAATTGAAAAACACTACTCTGGGGTATGTGTTGTTCACAGCATGTAAACAATACCAGTTGTTTTGGGTCCATGACATTTCATAGTAAAATCACTAGTGGTCATGTTTCCATAACATATTTATCCATAGTTAACTGAGTCCAATGTTCTGGGTTTACACAACACACTGAATCATAAATTAACAATGTGGTCTACAGAACACACAAGGCTGAAATGTGGTTGGCTGGAAGATAGTTCATTAAGTTGTGTGAACCCAGGTAGATAGAAAAAGATAGGAAACCATGCTGAGCTGCCCTACTTATGAATATAAAACCAATACTAAATACTAAAGAAGTCCAGACATAAATATTAAAGCCTCTGTCCTACCTGTGGTGGATAACCAGGCTGAGTAGTGATAGCCATGTAGTAATGGAAAACAATCATGACAAGGTTCCAATGGCCATAGATAACGTGCCAGAAGATCCAGGCAATGGGGTAGGTCTGAATAATTATTGGTAGGAGGCAAATGTACACTATGCCCACCACAGAACTGGTCAATGTAATCACCAGAGCTACAAACACCTGTTGAAAGGATAAAGGAATTTAAGCTAGCAAGACACTATATTCCAAATCTGCTCTTTGGAAGAGAAAGGGCCTGTGCCAGATACATTTCTTAACTAAGCCCTTCTTGTTTTCTGGAAAGCTGAAAGAGATAGTAAACAGATTCTATGAAGTCCTAATGCCACGTCTTCACACATATTCAGTTCTTTTTTTTTAATCTCCTGGCTTTACTCAGCAGTTTGAAATAGCTATGTATGTAGCTTGAAAACTGGAGCTGTAACTTTATTAATGCAGAAAATATTTCTCCTTAAACTCCAAATTTTGTTTTGTTTTTCTAAGTACTTACCACCCCAAACCAACGAGTGACATGATCTACCAGCCAGTATATAGGCTCAAAGAGGGCATCAAGAGCTGTGTCGCCATCAGCAAAAGAGTTGTAAAACAGAGAGCGCAGGCAGAGATGCCCATATAGCCACAGTTGTTCCACTTGGTGGGTCAGCCAGAACCGGCGCCGCTGACCTATCCGCAAACATTTCAGGAAGAGACGCATGACAGCGGAGTACATCCGCCGGCGACTCCTCATCCCTGCTGCTCAGAACCTGGGAAGAAAGGAGGAAGTGTCAGAAAGTATTTGACAGAGCTTGGTGAGAAAACTTTGGCACCAGACATTAGAGCTCTGGGTACTGCTCCATTGTCATCTTGTTAGGTAATGCCTCACTGCAAGTAGGTGAAGAAATCTTTGCAATCGTGGTTAGCATTGTGGCTGGGGAATCACTCTCACTTTGGATGTCTCCAGTACAGCATTGGTGGAAGAGTTATGCTCTCTTCCATAATTCCAATGGGGATAATAACACAGAAATAAGGATTGTGACTTTGCTGATGCTTCGGCTCACTTTCCTAGGCTGAACAGCAAGATGCCTTGTGTGACCACATGTTTATTGTATTCAGAATGCAAGAAGTGCTCAGAACGTGCTCTACAATTGCCCCAAAGAACACATCTTTTATGATTATGTTTGCATTTCTTTTTCCCCTGCATAACTGCAGAGAACCATAATAAAGGGGAAAAAAGAACGAACTCAGAGGAAGCCAAAAATACAGCAAATGTTGAGGATATTAGAGCCGATGAAACTGGAATCCTAATCCAGGATTAGGCTCCTCTCTGAGATATTGGACATAAGTTCTCTATAATCTCTATAGCCAACGTGAACATCATTTAAACAGTTAAGAAATAACTGGAATGTAGCCCAATATCGTTGAATAGGATATATTATATAGAGCACTTTAAGATTTAAGGACAAGTAAGGTAGTTAGAATTTTTTCTAAAAGGTCATTGCTTTCATTCCTCATTCATGTTTTCATCTCTCTTTTCTAAATACCAAAGTATTCCATAATCACTAATCCCTCTCAAAACTAATCTCTTCCTTGGCATCTCTGCCTCACTGGAGCAAATCATCCCACTTAGACTAGCCTATGGCTACCAAGGAAGGCCAACTATTTAAAATTTGATTTTTACCTGTTTGTAGGACTCCAGCATCAAGCAGCTGCTAATCAAAAAGCAGGAAGGAACTTGAGCTGGATCAGCTCTGGAGAAAACTGATCTTGGCCAATTAATATTAAGTGAGAATGACTCTGGGAAGTCCTCTGTCGGAGCCAAAAGCATCCTAGTAAGGTGATGCTATGGCAGATCAAATTAAATTTTAGCCAATGTAAAATTAGACCCAAATGTTTCTGTCTAAAACTGCAGCAACTGTTACTGGTTTTATGCCAACAAAATCTTAATATCTCTCTCTTCTTCAGTTCTTATTTCAAATAAGAGTTCTGCTATAGTTAATAGAAAACATATAATTTACTTTTAACTTTATCCTTGCATATGGAGTGGAATTCTTTCTTTGGTATTGAGGAACCTCGTTCTGACGTTTGAGGGTAATTCACCAAGTGCAGGAGTGTGGCTTCCTGCTAAGGTCAGAAGAAACCAACCAAATAAATATGTGGAAAACTTTAGGCTTGCAAAACCAACCTGAAAATTATCTATATAAATAAAAATGTAAATGTTCGTTTGTTCAAAACTTAAATCTCCGACAATTCTTCACCGATTGCTTTGAAATTTTGACACAACGTTGCATTCGAATACGCGCGTGTTTTTATATACCTACTATTATATAGATGTCACACCTGTGACACAAATGTGCGCTTTCTCTTTTCTTTCTTTTCCATTTAACCAGACTGAGCCACAGCAACGCGTGGCCGGGTACAGCTAGTAAACAATAAAAATCTACTATCCTGAAAAATCTAAATCTGTCTGCTTGCATTCCGTCATTGCTCAAATTTTCAGGCCTCCCACTATCAATTTTAAATACAATAATGCCCCCCCCGAGTATTAAAAGGTTGCCCATCCTTTGTAAAGATACAATATGACTGGACAGATTAAGCAGGGATATCAGTTTCTCGCACAAAAATATTTCATGGTGAGTCAAGAATTACCTGAATCCACTTGATTTGGCAGCTGTAGGAACTATAATATTGTAGTACAGTTCTTGTTGTCCAAAAAAATATCCACTAAAAAGCAATGTTGTCAGATCGTTGTATAATTGTATAATATTTACAAAGAACAGATCTCAATTAGTTTTCTTGAGGTAGCATATTGAGAGGGAAGATTAGAACACCCTGGTAACTGTGACAGGCCAAAATGCTTGCATTAATTCAATAAGCACATGTAGGCTACAGAATAAAATCATGTAAGCATATATTGTATATTTACGCTCAGACTTAAGTATTTTGTGTGCCACCAACCAAATTTGCACCAAGACACCCACGACATAACGGAACCCGCGAAGAAGAGCCAATGGACCGCTTTCTAAAGGTTGTTATACTTCCTGACTCTTGGAAGTTGAACAAGGTGTGCTCGGGCTGTAACTCCGCCTCTGTGCAAACCTCAGCTATTTAGGCACAGGTATGACTCTGGTAACAAAAACCGCAGATGGAGAAGGAGGCAGAAAAGAACTGTCGCATCTATTCAACGGGATCTTTGGAGAAGGCCAGGGTTTAAGAAATAAAAGCACGTTCTGCTTCAGCTAATCGTCCCTTTACAGACGCGAGAAAACAAAAGCATCTTAAAGAGATCTTGCCAGCATGCATTTCAAGAAGGCTAGGCAATTCTTCGGCCCGCGAAGGAGATTTCATCCCAGCTTCTTTTCACAGCAACAAGCAAGATCCACGCAAGAAAACACGGGACTATCAGAGACTTCAGCAAGAAGGATAAGCTCTAAACAGCAATGCAGGAACTTCTGGAGGCGCCAGCCGGTGGAACCCCAAAGGCGTTAACCCGATAGACATCACTGGAAAATCGGTTTCCTTCAACTCTTTCCCGCTTACCTGGAGCTGCCATTTTGGGGGCTCAGTCAACCCCACGCTATAGACCCCCTCCTCGACTACCGGAGCCTTCCCGGCATCATTTTTCCTCCTTATTCTTATTCGCACATGCGCGACTACACGTTGGCTAAGCTGACTGAAACTACACTTCCCATCATTCAGTGCGCTTCAAGGGCCATTCTTTTCCGCCGGCCTTCTCGTTACAGTTACTCTGCAACATCCGAGTCTCGGTCGTGGGTTGGCATTCCGAAGAACGTGTGCTCGGAGGAAGTAATGTGAGGGTGGAATCGCCCAATGAAAATTCCAGCCACCCGCGGGGAAGAGGCGGCCTAGCGCGAAGTCCTTGCCGTCGCCTGGCTATGGCTCCTGCGCGCTACTGTGTTCCTGGTGGGTGACCGGGAGAGGGCGGGATGGGGTCCGCTCTGAGAAGAGCCGTTCCTTGGTTGAGAGCTAATTTCCTGGGCCAGCTCCAGAGAGTCTTGTGGGTGAAATGTCTGGCATTTGCTTCAGCCCCAGAGCGAGAAGAGGCTGAATTTGGGGCTGGGTGAGTTGGTTTGTAGGACACGGATAACCGTGATCATAGGGTTTGTTAGGCGTGTTAGTTCATAGAATATATAATAATAATAATAATAATAATAATAATAATAATAATAATAATAATAATAATAATAATAATAATAGTAGTAGTAATAGTAGTAATAATAATAGTAAAGTTGGAAGGGACCTTGAAGGTCATCTAGTCCAACCCCCTGCTCAGGCAGGAAACCCTATACCATTTCGGACAAATGGCTGTCCAGTCTCTTCTTAAAAACTTCCAGTGTTGGAGCATATCTACGAATGGAACTGGAAGGAATCTGATCATCCAGACCAGGCGTAGTCAACCTTGGCTCTTTTATGACTCGTGGACTTCAACTCCCAGAATTCCTGAGCCAGCACAGCTGGCTCAGGAATTCTGGGAGTTGAAGTCCACGAGTCATAAAAGAGCCAAGGTTGACTACCCTTGATCCAGACCAACCATCTATTCAGTGGAGGAATCCTCTATTTCCCCCAACAAATGGTCATTCGGCCCTGTCTGAAAATCTAGCAGAGACCTTTCTTGGTTCTAGACAGAATATTACACATTTTATCGGTCCATACCATCTAATCTAGCAGCCTCTCCAGTGATTTAGTTAGATGCTTCGGGAAAGCTTTCAACCCGAGCATTTTATGTACTTGTATTTTCAGAAAACCTTTATAGTTCTACATCACTGGCTCTTGAGTAAAGTTAGCAACCATGGCATAAGAGGACCTATTTCTTAAGAATTGCTAATTAATTAAAAAAATCAAAAGCAGAAATTAGAAATGGGAAGTGGGAAGTAAGAAGTGATTTCTTCAAGATTCCATGCGGGGACCAGTGCTTTTAAGCTTATCCATTAATAATCTTAAATATAAGTACAGGAACTGCCCATATTTACAGATGATACTAAAATATTTAGAATAGTCAAAAGCAAAAGTGATTATGAAAAGCTCCAGAAGGATCTGTTTAAAATGGGTGAATACTAATCAAGTGTGATTCAATTTAAATCACTTTTAGGCAAAACACAGTAACTATGTATACATGAAAGAAATCCCAGTTGACACTGATTTTGGAATCGTAGTGGATAACTCAATGAAGATATCAACTTCATACCTAGGGATCATTAAGAAACAGACTGAAATTAAAACTGGCAAATTGTAATGCCCATAGACAAGTATTTGGTATGCATTTTGAGAAAAATTATATAAAGTAGATGAAAAAAAATGTAGGAAATAAACATCTTGCCGATGAATCAAACAAACTAAAACATGGAACTTCCGGTGGCAGGCGATTTCGCTGGTCGCAGCTGTTTGCTGCCTCCCGCCTGTTTTGCGTAAAAGCCGGTTTGACAGCCAG